CAAGATTTTCAAATATTTTTTCCATCCCTATTTCAGTTCAGTAGTTGGAAGTTCAGTTACACAACATTGCCATTCAGCTTAATGGTTGTATTGCACAATAAATGCATAATTACACATATTAACCTTTACAGCATATAACTTTGGTGTATTGTCTTGGATGCTTTCATTCTGTTTTAATTCTTTTTTGTAATTTGATTGTATTATTGCTTTTAACTGTTTGAATAGTGTACATAAACACTAGCAGGATGAGATGTTGATGCTTGTATAAATAAATACCCCAGGAAACTGTAAGTCTTATGATGCAGTCATTATAATCGCTTACCAAGGCATATGCCCTACTAAATTAAGTGTGACTTACTTATGATTAGGCACGTACAGGATTGCACTGTCAGTATGTTGGATAAGAGTGAGCTATGAGTTAAAAAGTCATTTGATTCAGATCTTGCGTCTATAGTGCACTCACTTACTGTGTCCCAACATGAACTAATAAAGCTGACCAACCTGACAGAGTGTTTAGGATTGCTGAGATAATATATCTGAGGTGCTTTGCAGATTCAAAAGCACTGTTTAAATCTAAGCTATTATTTCAGTGAGACTTGGGTGGATTGCTGCATGACAGCTTTTGCAAAAGAGACTCATTACTGAGCCCCCGGAGAGTTTCTTATTTTTAGCCAACCTTTCCGATTTCTAGTAGGTGACTGGGAATAATAAGGTATCATAAGCTGTTTGTCTTATGGCTTACGTAGACCTTCTATATTGCAACCACTACTAATCACAAGTCAGATACAGGAAGGATATACAGCTAGACAGTTCACTAATATGCTTGTGTACTGTACTTGTGAGGTTAGGTTAGATTGCTCTAAGTCTAAGGGATAGAGACTGAATGAATGTTAGCATTTGATACATGACTGACCTTTGGGCTCTGATATAATTTAATGCATTTTTTTAATATTTAATGTAATTTAAAATAAAATGGCATGACCCAAATACAGTTAAGCATTTATAATTTCCAGGCAGTGTTACGTACATTCTTACACTGCCATTGAAATTAGTGGGATTTGGAAGTGCACAATTTCGATTGTAAGATACCCAAAGCAAATAAATAGCCATCACATCTATATGCTCAATACCCCTGCTGAATAGGCAACAGTAAGTGTTCTTCCATTATGGAAGATATCTTTTAATTTCCAGAGGGAAAATGAGCAAAGATGGCACAGGAAAATCTAGTTAAAAAAACAAGGTGATTTGTGTTTTATTTTGGCATATCACTAAATTACATTTCTCATTTTTGCCTATTCACCATATATATTGCCTTATATATGTATCTCTCTTCTTTTAACATTGGATCTCTTATGGTATGGATGGATTTTTTCACTGAAGTAAATAACAGCTTGTTTCCTTGGAAGCAATTGGAAAACAGAATAAAAACACTACTTACTGTTTTTGAAAGTTGTGTCAGATTGTCATGGCAATAAAGAGTTGCTTCATGTTTCCATGGCTACTGAAATTATAAAACTGATTTAAGGAGAATCAAGGAGACACCCTATAAGAAGTGTATGCATATAAAATTAAAATTAGATTTAGGTTGTTTAGGTCCTGTTTCAGATGTGTCAGATTGCAATAAAATATATATGATGTTCCCCTACTAAATAAAACTTGTCCAATTTTGAAGAACTAAAATGGGGGAAGAAATGACTTCCTTACCTGAAGATGTAGAAGACTGACACAAGTATCCATTCCTATTTATTTGTCCTTTTTCTTTCAAGCAAATACTTCCCAAAACCATAGGTGAAAATACTAAAGAATGATGGAACAGCTCAGTTTTTTTCACACTTACTACTGTGTGGCTAACCTTCTTCATCTCATGTGTATCTGTATGTTTCTCTCTCTGTGTGTGTGTGTGTGTGTGTGTGTGTGTGAGAGAGAGAGAGAGAGAGAGAGAGAGAGCACATTTTGGGACACAATTTTCAAAAACAGCTAAATTTGACAATCTCTTTCAGTATCTACAATAGCTACTTCAGTTGCAGAAACATTAAAGCATGAAACAGTTGGTCTCCACAGAAATATGTATTCAAAGCAGGGAAGAGAATTTTGTGTAGTTCACTTTTTAAATAAGTACTTCCTTATTTAATTGACAAATAAAACTTGACCCTTAAAGTGGACTCAATTTGCACTATTTCTGGCAGTCTGCAAAGGCCCATAGACTTCAAATCATTGACTAAAAAGGAGGGTTGAGTGTGGCATAGTGGTTTGAGCATTGGACCGTAATTTTGGAGAACAGGGTTCGAATCCCTGCTTGGCCATGAAAACCCACTGGGTGACCCTGGGCAAGTTACACTCTCTGAGCCTCAGAAGATGGCAATAGCAAACCTCTCTCTGAAGAAACATGCCAAGAAAATTCCATGATAGGTTCCATTTAGGGTCACCATAAGTTGGAAATGACTGAAGGCAAATAACACACACATATGTTATTTATACTCAAGGTAGCCTAAGGATCACATTTTTAAAAGCCACTTTTATGCTGTGAGCTTTCCATAAGATCCCCAAAGTTTTATTATTTACTTATGTAATGTTTCTTTAAATTTGAGGAGGTTAGCAAACAAGGAGGGGTGAGCATATTCATTGATGCCAGCTATCAGGAGCAAATCTCATAAAAATGCTGATCATGATACTCATTTGTTTCACGTCCTTAATTAAGACTACAGAGATGTGCACAATTTACCTGGGAGAAGGCCTCTTGAACTCAGTGATACTTAGTTTTCATTAGATATGCACATTACTGCACAGAGCGTTCAGGTAATTTGTCAGAAGTAACATAATTACCTGTAACAATTGCCAGTTTTGGTAACAAGGGTGGTACAAAGTTACATTTCAAGAATAACGTGGAAACAACATCATGGTTTTGATTTAAGGAATAATGTCTCTTTTTTTTAGTTTTTAAAGTTTTTAAGGCTATTTTTCAAATCATCCGACGTGGATATTTTCAGTTTCATGCCATTCTCTTATCAAAAAGCCTAAGATAGGGAGTTTTTTGTTTTTTTTAAAAAAAGCAAACAGTAAAGAGCAACTTCTTTGTGACGTTAGCAGCCACAAATTACAGTTGGGGAGCTTTGCGGCAAGTCATCTGATGAAGAACATTTTAAGACAAAAATCATTTCCCAAGCTCTAGAATTACATCGTAAGTAAGGTAAACATGGAAACATTGAAAAGGCCCAGTTATTATAAACCAGCAAAAAGTCTTATGGCACCTTAAAGACTAATAAATCTATTACACCTGAGCTTTTGTGGATTATTGTCACGCACTTCATCAGATGTGTGGAGTGCTATCTAGAATTTCAGTTCTTGTTATGTTGCCTAAATGTTAACTACAGATTTGAATGTAGATCCACTTCCTTTGCATTCATTTCATCCAGAGTTGCCTCTCCAGACAGTTTTAACAGATCATTTATGAATAATGCAAGTTACAGCAAGTTTTAGGAATTAATAGTGGCCAGGTAGTATTTTGCACGCGCACACACACACACACTTGAATGAATGTCTGTTTTCTCTATTTATTGTGCTTTCTTTGGAGAGAAGCCCATGAAACAAAGTATTAAGAAAACACACAGCTGTCCTGGAATGTGTATATTAGCTGCAGATTATTTCCTATTAGCAGATTAGCTGTGAGGCTATTGGCTCAAAAACAAGCAGTGCGGGGGGGGGGATCTCTCTTTTTTTGGAGTATTTTGTTTTGTAACTTATTCAAGCCAAGATTGCCACCCTGATTGGACAAGAAGAATTAACTACTGTTGCCATGGACACTGGAGCTCCACAGCTCCATTGTTAACTTTTCAGTCCTCCACAATGAGTTGTTACAGCATGAACTCCCTAGTTTTGTTAATAAAATTACAGCAGCGGACCAGGAAAGAGGAAGAGAATAAAGAGCCACGTTTATGAAGCAATGCTGTGTTATTTTGTTTTTTTTATCATTTCGTTCAGGCTTAGCGAGTGCTGTATGCTGAGTTCTGTTCCTTGTTATAGTCCTCCAGCGCTGTTTGCTTTTGGTCAGTTCTTTTAAGGTGAATCTGGCATTTGCTTTCTGCTGTGGCTCTGCAGGACAATCTTCTCCTAAACTTCTTGCCAGACTGAGAAATGGGTTGTGATGACAGAGCAAAAAGCCCATTGAGTGGTCACTCAGCCTTTAACAGCAGCAACAACAACAACAATTATAGCAGCAGCTTGCCTGACCATTACAAATATTCTTATGTCCTGTGAACAATTATTTAGTGCCACTTCATTGTAACTGGGCCCTACATGGTCATCTTTTGATTTTAAAAAAGGAACTATTTAAATAACTTGTTACATTCTCCCTCCCTGGCACACTAATTCTTGCATGATCCTACCCACTATTCTACTCTACTAAGACTCACAAAACAAGTGCAAGTACGGTATGAATTAAGGTCAGGGTGGCCAACTCTTAAATACTTTGCCCATGCAGAGGCCATTTTGGCTTGGCAACTCTGAGATAATAGTCCATGAAAGTAACAACCACATGCTTCCAAGCAAAATGCTCTGGCATTTTGGCCTCAGATCTCATATCTGCTCTCCTGTTGACTAATTAAAAACAAAAATTAGAGAAGCTTTCATTGAGTATAATCTCCACCTTCTCCATCACCGTAGGATTACACCGGTCCACGTCCAAGTCAGCAAAACCCACAAGCGTTCGTTTTATTTTGGAACAACTTTGAAGACTGACTGCTTATGGGGATTGGGCCATGCATAAATGTGCTGTACTATAAGGCTGTGTGTATACATGCTGTTTGTAATAGCAATGTTTTTACACTAGTTTTAATTTTATGGCTAGTTTAATGATATTTTATTTTTTGTATTCTTTTAAAGTTATGTTTCTTTTTATTGTTGTAAGCTGCTTTGAGTCCTTGACTGGGGAAAATCAGGTTGTTGTTGTTGTTGTTGTTGTTACTATTACTATCATCATCATCATCATCATCATCATCATTATCATTTGTATTATTGTTCACTCTCTGATTCCCTCACCCACCCACCCACATAAGATATAACCTCTTGGTGCCTGTTCATCTTGTAACATTGCAAAACAACTACTCAGTTTCATTTGGCTAGAAAAATCTTTAATTTAATGCAACAAATATTATTTGATGACTTTACCCTAGCCAGTTTTTAACCATTGTCTTTTCCCATAAACAGAAACTAATATAAAACCAGCTTGACTGCTTCCTCCCTCTGCTTGCTTTATGTCCAGAGAATTAAAAAAGAAACCTCAAAACATTTTTTCTTTCATTTGCAAAATATTTTCTACATTTGAACATCCAGAGCTTATTATTGTTCATTTCAAAGCTTTTCTTTCAGTAAAATAATAAAAATAAAATGAAGATAAAAACAAAACAACAAAAAAGCTACTACATCACTGTATAATGCACGAGGGCCAAATTATCTTTAATGTTTTCCATTGAATGCTTTTGTTTCTGTGCAATATTGATTTTCCATCTTTAGTAGGAAATCGTTAGTGCTGGGAGCAGCAGTTACTCCAGTAGCTGTGGTTCACTGGAACTTTGAGTTTGCTTTAGGAAGGAATTAGAAACTTTTGGCAAGTCAGTCAGTCAAAAGTGGTTATTGTTGTGTTAGAAAACAATAAAAATGTTTACCAGCGAAAGCAATTTTATTTTCTTTCTGAGCAGAGAAAGAAATTGAAACTGTTGTCACCATAATGAAAGGATAGACACAGCTGGTCTCTGAGCTGGTGTTGGAGACCCCCAGACTTTTAGT